CACTGAAGGAAAATACGATTACGATAGAATGAACTGCAAGGGATGTGGAAGAAGGCATTTTGCCTGGAGGGAATTTGGAAAACTACAAAAACTTCAGAGAGGACAGTCAGGCTCTTGGCAGTGACTTAAACCCCCAGGATGCTAACCATTCCACCACAGTTCTTGTGCTTCTTCTGTTGCTTGTATTGGTTTTGTAAAAACTGAAAAATGGTATGCAAAATATTTCAGATTTTTTATACTTTGGGCAACCATGGGGGGAGAAAACCTAACAATTTGTTGGTAAACAAGCAGAAGGCTGATGAGATATCTCAACTTCTATTTACTGCTTCTCCCAACAGGAGACTTACATCTGACCACTGTCTCTCTGTGTACTGCAGGAGAAACAAATCTGTGACCTGAAACGAAAAAATCAAGAACTGGAAAAGTTCAAGTTTGTCCTAAACTACAAGATAACGGAGCTCAAGAACCAGATCGAACCTAAGGACATGGAAATAAAGGAGAAGAAGAGGCAGATGCAAGATGTAAGGGCACAGCTTCACATACTTTGCTGTAATAAACTTGACATAAGACTTGGGATAACAATAAATGCATGCAAAATTTTGGTTGTAAAACCTCAACAGCTCACTTAGGTGTAGAATGGAGAATGATATTAAAATGGAGGGTTGTAAAATGTTTTATAAGGACATGAACTAAATCAGGTAGGTTCAGAGGGACGATCCTGGAGCTTCGAGGCACAATAAAGGGGAATTATAGTGAGAGAGGCGCGTCTGCTGTGCAAAACATTACTGTACCAGTAATGGCATTACAGTCCAATACTGCTTTAAAAATGGAAGTTTCTTCAGTACGTTAACTACAAAAATTGTCATCAAATATATGCATGAAGACACTACATCTGAATTCCTGCAATACATCAATATATATTCCAAAGTGCATTATTCTGAAACATTAGTAATTTAAAGTCTTCCCTCACAGAATGAGTTACACATCACAACCATACAAAACATTGGGTAAAGTCAGTGTCCCATGTAACATAATCATATTATTGCGAGTAAGAAACTCTGACGCTTTCATCTTGTGCCTCACATTTGCCATTTCTGACAGATGGAGGCAGAGCTGGAAAACCTACAGAGAATAAACACAAACCTGGAACTACAGTTGGCAGAACTGCGAGGGAAACTGAACGCAACACGCAAGGAACTCAAATCTGAACACGACAAGAACCGAGAAGCAGCCGCTCTCTTGACGCGTATCAGGTTCGACATCCACAGCGCATCAAGTCTACTTCAGGAGCCGAAGAAACTTAAGGACAGTGTTAAGGTATGCAACCCCCACTTCAACAAATTAGGCCATTACGACCAACTGACGGCAATACGACTATTACATCTGGTCTGTTCTCACGTCCTTCCTGACTCACCATCTTGCCAACGAAGATCCTATACCTGTACGTAGATCATAAATTTGCAATTACACGAGATGCCACCAGTGTCTGACAGCACTGTTTATGTACGATGCTACGGTCTGCTCACAGCGCATGTACCAGAAGTACAGCCAAGACTCAGACTTCATTAGGAGTGAAGAGCAGAACATGAACGTCCAGACAGAGTTCATGAGGCAGAGGGAGCACCTGGAGCGCACAGTGGTGTCCATCAAGCGGCAGGTGCACAAGGACACATCAGCCAAGCAAGACCAAGTTTCCAAGATAATAAACGTGAGTGTCGTGTATTTTTTCATTTGACGCTACACCGTATTTTCATTAAAAATTTAAAAATACCGTAAACTGAACTATAAACTGAGTTATATTTATCCCTGTCTTTTTTCATTCTGGCTAAAACTATAGAAGTACATATTTTCAAGTTCATGCCAAATAAAAGCCCAAATGGGCAAGAAAATTCTCTAGTCGACGCGAAAGGAGTCCTAAGCTCCTTGTGGGTAATTATAAATCAAAAGTTTATGGGCTATGTTCAGGATCTCCAGACACTCAGTGGTTACAATCCAAGAAGGCTGTACGGTGAGCTTGACTTGCCTGTCTCTGTCACGACAGGAGAACACAACGCTAATCACGGAGCTCAACAACTTGCGTCGGCAACTGAAGGATGCACACAGGCAAATCAGTGACATGGAATCCATCTTGGGGATAAGCAGCAAATACATGAGCCCAAAGGAAGCCCAGGCACGACTCAAGATGGCAGTGCAGAGCCATGAGGAAATCCACAATGATTACAAGAGCAAGCTTGAGGTGCGTGTAGGACGCAGACAAACACGTCCTAATAGCGACAAATTTATAGAGTTTCTGCCTGATCCCTGTGTGGGCCTGCAAACAAATGTCATTCATAAACCTAGTATTAATAGTAACATTTACATGTGATAAACTTCACTGCAGGCCTTCACAAACAGACATGCGTAATCTAATTTTTATTTATTTGTGGTTTATTCAATAAAGCTGTCAACAGATAGGTTCAGCTGTATTTGTTACGCTCAAGAGTGGAGATTAGGAAAACCCAGGTTAAATTGTTTCTTCAAATGACATGCATGAATGCATTTGTGCAGGAAAGTGAACGCATGAACGAGATGCTAAGGGAAGAGGCGGCTCGACTGACGGAGAAGCTGGCGAACGAAAAGCAGGGCGAGAACACCCGGAAGACGGGCGACTTCTCGGCATAAATATTGTTTATTAAACTGAAATAACAAAAACAAGTCATAACAATCTTAACTGTACACAAGGAATGTTTTTAGCACTGAGAGGTGTGGCTCCATAATGGAGCTTGTCTATCCACATTACAAGCATAAATGTCCTAACAACCTTTTGCTTAAATCAATTGTTTAATCCAGTCACCATATTTTAATGAGTTATTCCATTCATTTTAAATATTATGCAAAAAAAGGCCACATATTTGACGACAGAGCAGCAATATTCTTTTACAGACTGAAAACATTTAAAAATTTTGTACACTGTTTACTGAAGCTAGGAACTCTTTCACGTATGAACACCCCCGTTCCAAGCTTCTTCACCACCGTTACATAATAAAGATGTGCATTTCACGCACGTGACTAATTCATAGCCCTCAAATGTCATTGAGCTATTGCCTAAATATGTAATGACTGATTCAACTTAACTTGCTATAGTTTGTACCACCGTCACAGCGACAATTATTTCACCTTTAAAGAACTTCAAAGCTTTCAGTGCGCTAACGTAAACTATTATGATATCTGCGCCAGATTTACGTGGGGTGCGTGACCAACAGATCTGAAAACCTCAGAATGGGTCGGAGGAGTGCAGCTTAGGCATTAAGGCCAAACTGTACGCACAACGGACATCACAACGGTTCCACTAAGCAGTATTTATAATAAAGCATGTGATTGTTTTTTCCTAAAGGAGTACGTCAGTGTGGAGCGGTCAGTTCCAAATGTTTATGCAATAAAATGTTTAATGTATTCCTTCACCACATTTTTCTTTTAACTATAAAATGGACACTGGAGGAATAGACCTCAGACATTTGAACATAGAACTGAGCGGTCATAAAGATTCACACCTCCGAAACATATAAAGGAATTCTGTTTAACTTGTGCAACTGTCCCAATAAAAAATGCACTTCCACAAATGAATGCAGACAGCAGGCATTGTTACAAACCTTCACATAAAAAATAATTTATTCCTCGTAACTCCTTTCCTCGAGACAAATTGCTCGTTTCCCTCCCAAAAGGAAACGGAACTACCGTCCCCGCACATCCTGCCCGCAGAACTCGAACAGCATCACTTTGAAATAGCAATGGCGCACAAAATGTTACCGCAGATTCTTATACCAAACTGCGAGACATTCTGAAATCCTACAGCGTGCAGTCTCATCGTAACAGAACTCATTATTTTATTTTGGACTATGGTAACAAAAATTATACAGCCTTGAGACATCTGGGCCCTGCTATTACGACGGGCCCAGACACTAAATGCAATAAACTACATTCCACAACCACTGACACTAAATATACAAAAAGAGAACTTACTGTTCAGAAAATAGAGAACACATTTCTTCTGATGGTTGATCCCAGTTGATGAATGACTTAGAGGACGAAAGGCACGATGGCCTTGCGGCTACGAGGGTACTTAGGGAAGTCCTTCTTGTATGCCCTGTGCTTGCCAAGTGCCCATACGCTCATCTGGTACATGCCTGCCAACGCAAACAGGCCCGCTGAAAGGGAGCATCATCGACAAATCAGACCAACAAGAAGACGGGTTCTGAAGAACGAGGAGCTTTAGTTAACGGCTCTCAAAATAAAATCCTTCTTGCTTTATATTGTTTTTATTAGCGCTCGAAATACAAACCTGGCAAGCACTGCGTCATGATGGCGAAGGACAACCAGCTGCCAAATTCATACGTGTAGTTGGGGCACGACACCAGATCGAACAGGGCCGTGAGAGGGTTCGATGTCGCCACTGGAATCTTGCGCACCGTGGTGCCGGGGGGCCGCAGGTTCCGCAGGGCCACGTGGATGCTCAGGTTGCCCAACTCACAAAGCTGAAACGAGCGGGGGACGTCAAAACAGGGGACGGACGCCGAGACTTAAGCCCACTTAAAAGGCAACAAAAATTTAAGGAAAACAAAAAGGAATGTTAACGAGGGAAATTTTGAGAAAAGCGACTCCGTCGGCGCAAGCGATGTTTCCGGCCAGTGACAGCTTTACAGCGACTCTGCTCGTCAGAAGCACGTATACGTAAGACAACACGAGCTAAAGACGTGGGTAGCTTTTAGGTTCATTTTACACTGTTTTAAGAAAATCATACACGAAGATTCTCAGAAGAAAACTCTTCGACTCAGAGTGGGTCAACTCTGTTGTTTGTTCACGTACTTTTTAACCTCTATCATACTGGAAAAATGGATTTAAACCCCAATATTAGAGGTGGATATTAGTTCTAAAGGTTTAATAACACCAGCGTGATAGTGACGAAAGACCAGCTGGAATGTGGACCACGAAGTATGACCAACACAGGTTAGCAAAGCATCAAATGACAACTGAGGATTTTGCGCGGTAAACTTCAAAGAGGTGCGAAAGCTGCAGCTGTGGCTCGGTCCGAGGAACTATACCAGCATTCACCCGGGGGAACACACAGGTCAAGCCCGGTCAGAACTCTGGCCGAAACTCAGACTTCTCACCTCCCTGACGTACGTACCAAGAAAGCTGCAAGGCTCCCATAAGCCTGGACTCGGCCTGGGGCAGTGTACAGCGGGTGGTTGACGTGATAAGCGACATACAGCGTGAACAGCCAGTAGTACGAACAGTTCTTGAACAGATTGAAGATAGGCATTGTTGCGTGAGAGAATCGGTGGACGAACAGGGTCTCCAGAAGTCGCTTGGCATAATGCAGCGTCCAGCAGCCAGCCGCCATGCTGCAACATAAAACATCCGAGGGTTACATCAAAAGGAACACATCATACATACATTTTACTGAATTCACCTGTGAAATTTACAAAACAACGAAATTCCACCAAAAATTCCAAGTGCCAACGTAACTTTCACTACTTCTTCGCCATGTATTTGGAAATGCCCCAACCCAGCCACCCTCCCTTCACTTTACTCTACAAATCAAATTCAGTATAACATTATAATATGGGAGACAAGTAGCATCCCCCTCACTTACTGTACTACGTAGTGCACAGGAACTGCTGCGCCGACATCCCCGTAAAACAGCCAGGGGCGCCTGTACATCCAGAGGTAAACAAACAACGGCCCTGCATATTCTGCAAGGAAAACCGTCTTCCATCCTATCTGTGGTCCAAGATCCTTCACATACAGCTTTGAGCCATTTTTCAATCCCAAAATCTGAAGCGATTCATCATCTTTCAGAATTTTGCCTCTCGGTTCGAGTCGCAGGGCCTGTCGATCCGGATACAGAGATTTCTTCAACCCCTGAACCTTCTTCTTAAGTTCTCGGATATTTGTCGTTGGAGTAAGCTGCAGAAATCAAGATTCTGATCATGTATATGTTATTTATGAAGCCTTTTATTCAATTATGAAATTATAGTTGCATTTGCTTCAAGAAGCTCTGGGGCAGAAATGAACAGAGTAACATCGCAGCAGGTGAGCTAGAACTTGCAAAACACAAAACCTCTAGAACTGTTGTCACTAGACGTGTTGTTCGTCTAGTGACAACAGTGCAGAAGATTCTGAAATGGACTGTGCTGAGCAGTAAACTAATATCAAATTTCACTGATAACTGGGAAAACTGACAAAGTAAATGAAGTGGGATGCTGTCGACTGTGAACAAAAAATAGGCGATATCCTGGTCCAGTGTGATGTGAATGCATGAACGGTGTGAACAGCTGAAAAATAATACACACAGCAAATGGCCCACATGACAGAACAAGGAAAGTATGAGGTACGTATGTAAGGTTGTGTTCATCATCATCATCATCAGATGGTACAGCAAACTGCAGTAAAAACTACGATTTTAATTTGACTTGACACAAACAGAAGTTTTAAATATGTTAAGTACACATGAGTGAAATTTGCAATCTCATGCCAGCACCTTGACAATATCACACACTTACATTATTTAACACTCCAATAGATTTGGAACTCTGCGCGCTCAATATTTCGATCTGAAATAATAAAGGGCATAAATAATTATAATAAAACACAGAACAAATATACTAAAGTTAAATATTAAGGTAAATTTGCCAGAGGGTGATATATCACAGGCAACTCTTCCATTATTTACTACTCGTACACAGGATTTTCAGATGGAATAATGCCTTTATAATTCACCTCTACATTGTAATAAACTCATTATTATTGAAGAAACTCGACGTATTTTGACCGGATTGAAATTGTACTTACCTCCATGATTCTGACTAAGGTAAAATGCAGTTCTCACTATTTACCTACAGATAGCTGTCTAGTCGATGCTGTTACCCACATCCAAACACCTTACAACACGAAGATAACTCACTCCTGTAACATTGCTTTGTGTAGTCTGGCATAAATTAACCGACGTTTCAGAAGTGCTTTCTGCCTCACATTTCACAGCACGATGTAACTAATTGCATTCCAGATGTACAATACATTATATTTAAGTGTAACATTGTAAAATACCGGAAGAGGAATATCTTCGAATGTTAAATAAATGGCAGATTGCCAAGTTCCAGAACCTTCCGGAATGTTACAGACCGAGTGATGAGTATATATTCTTGAAAGCAGCTTTCCTATTGGTTTAGTTTACGAAACGCAAGTGTGGATAGTGGTGGCGAGTGTCATAATTTGTGCGAAGTCGTTACGAATTCTATACATACTACTTGGATACACGTATTTTGAATACGACAAGTGATACAATTTCATACATACAGCCTGTAAAAGGTGAGTAATGTACAAGTTTTGCCTAGAGCTGATAAGTAGGCGACTCCATTTCTTCTTTTCTCACATTGGCTTGCGTAGCCCTAGAGTGAACGTCGTGTTAGGAGGATAAGTTTCCACAGTATGTGGCTATAAATATTATGCATGTTTGAAAACAGGATCGACTGAGATGAGGGAGAGAGTTTTAAAATTCCCTAAGCATGAATTTAGAAGTTACCCTGTGCATATTTGTTCCATATGGTATTCTAACACTAGGGTCTCTTGCTTTATGTTTCATAAGTTATTTTTATTTTTAGACTGAAACCCAGATATGGGGAAGGATTATTACAAGATATTGGGCATCACAAAAGGAGCGTCTGATGACGAGATCAAGAAGGCATACCGTAAACTCGCTCTTAAATATCACCCCGACAAAAATAAGACAGCTGGAGCAGAAGAGAAATTCAAAGAGGTAGCAGAAGCATACGAAGTGTTGAGTGACAAGAAAAAGCGAGACGTGTACGACCAGTTCGGTGAAGAAGGACTCAAGGGTGGTCCTTCAGGTGGCAGTGAAGGATCTGGTGGTGGTTTCACGTACACATTCCACGGTGATCCACGTGCAACATTTGCTCAATTTTTTGGAACTGCCAACCCATTCCATACATTTTTTGACCTTGGTGGACCTGGAAGTAATCGAATGTTCTTCCATGATGACATGGAATTGGATGATGACCCATTTACAACCCTAGGCATGGGTAATGCAAGACCTGGGGGACCTGGTGGGGCATTCAGATCACATTCATTTAACATCCATAGTGGCTCTCCTGGTCGCAGTAAGGATAGACTTCAAGATCCAGCCGTAGAACACGATCTATATGTAACTATGGAGGACATCAGTCGTGGTTGCACGAAGAAAATGAAGATCTCCCGACGTGTCATACAACCAGATGGATCCTCACGAAAGGAGGACAAAGTGTTGACCATCAACGTGAAACCAGGATGGAAGGCGGGCACTAAAATAACGTTCCAAAGGGAGGGAGACCAAGGTCGTAACAAGATTCCAGCTGACATTGTGTTCATTATACGCGACAAACCTCATCCACTGTTCAAACGAGAGGGTAGCGACGTCCGCTACTCTGCCAAGATCTCCCTTAAGCAGGTAAGACATAAAGTTTCAGGACCTAGATTCCAGTCTTAACCATTGTAAACCATAATGTTAGTAGAATGTAAACATTTGATTCCAGTAACCATAACATGGCAGTTACCAGTTATGGTGATTCAGGTAACTGCTTACCAGCAAATTATGTTGGTAGCTTGCAACAGATGCTGATTAACTCGTAACTCAGAAACTGATAAATTAACTGAATATAAGAGAACTTGAGAGTTTTGTTTTTATTGCAGGCATTGTGTGGCGTAATCGTAAATGTTCCTACAGTTACCGGGGAAAAAATTCCTATCAACTTGATGAACGAGATTGTGAAACCTAATACCGTGAAGCGAATCCAGGGTCATGGACTGCCGTTCCCTAAGGAACCTAGCCGAAAGGGAGACCTCATAGTTTCGTTTGATATAAAGTTCCCGGATAACATCACGCAAAGTGTAAAGGACATTTTGTATGACACGCTGCCCAACTGAGACTGACAGAATGCGACTAGTATAGTAGGGGAGGTAAAGATGCGTTTTGTACGTGTGGACGATCTGTTAGAGAAGGTTGTAACGTGATCTTCACTACACATCATCGTGCGAATGATTCGCCTCATCACATCTGGTACCACAGTTCCATGCGTGCTTGTGAAGTGTGAGAGTCGTGATTTGTGTCGGCCAGCCTGGTCGCGACTGGATTGACTTAAGAAGATTTTGATTCTTAGTTGTCAGGCTTTGTAATACTTGCATTGTATTTTATTATTAACAGCATCAGTTAATTTTATTTTTTGAGTTTGTGTAGTTCTTTCTTTTTTTTCCCAGTGGCTAGCCTATATTTTGTACGTTTTAGTACAATGCTTTTGTAAACACAAATTATTGACTAGGAGGCTAATCTTGTAAATATATTTCATTCAGCACATT